TCAACCACAGAATGAGAATCAAAGGAGGAATGTAATCCTGAAAGATCACTGGAAAGAACAAGGAAGTACACATAATCCTAAAACTGAAACCCAGGCAATCTTTTAGTCCCAGAAACATTGCAAAATCCCTATTGCTTAAACTAATAGGAAGATAAAATTATAATAAAAGTTACATGCGTTTTGTTACTGAGGTACAGAACTCGAGGACAGGACTTTATTCTTTTCTTGATTCTAACATAGATTTTTCATGAAGATTGAATCATACCTGAACCTATTGGTGTGGGTGAAATATATAGTTTAATGTAGTTTAATTTGACTAAAATTAGTTGGCCAGATTTTTTTTAACTTTCTAATAGTCAGCTATTCAAAATCCAGCAACATTTTTATTTTATATCTGATAGGGTTTTTGCTTATGTGCTTTCTTTCCAAATATTTTATTTAAGACACCTTTTAATTGATTTTATATTTTTAATAAATATATATCAAATAGAAAGCATAATGTAAAGATATAGTTTATAATCAATTACAATGGCTACATTAGTTCCTTAATTTAGGCATAAAATTAAGTCAAATAATTGCTGATAGAGATTTTTACTATTTTATATGTTTGTGACTACTTTGTTCAGTTGCCTGTATGTTATGAACAAATATGTTTATGTTATTTAAATTTTTCCAATGCAATTTTACTTTATATATTGACAGTCTTAAAACAGAATATGTCAATAGGTACACTAGTGAAATACAATCAAACTATAAAGCCTAAGTGTATTATTTGCTGAGTGCTGCAGACAAATTTTATAAATTGAAAATTGGGTTGAAAATGGTCTTAGGTTAGACCAATGTCTCACCATTTTATGGATTACAGATCCATTTGAGTATATCATGGGTGGTTGGCCAATAACCCATGTATCAAATGTCATAAAAAATATCTTAGATCTAGAGCTATCCCCAAGGCCGAGAAATTAAAGGAGCTGAATCCCAAATGGTCAATCAAGCAACTTGAATCTCAGCCACAGTAGCTTAAAAACCACACCAGCCATGTGGTTGTGCATGTGTGTGTGAAGTGGAGGAGACAGGATTGCGACGTGACCACATCCATCATGGGGCCCTTTCTCTCTCGGCCTCTGTCTCAGTCTCTTGGCAAGTGCAGGCTTCCTCTAGCCTAAGTAAATAAATAAATAAATAAAGTCTGAGTTCTTTTCGGATCATTTCGATTTCAGTAAAACAATTTCCTAAGTAGGAAAATAGTATAGTTTATGTCCTTAGAATATCAGTAAATAATTTTTAGATACTGCAGGTTGTAGGTGTTGAATTTGATGGAGGCATTCTTCGCTGATTTGATTTTCAGGCAACCTGACTTTTAAGTGACACAGTACGATAAACACCTAGATGACCTGATAACACTCCATGTTACCTTCCTTTCTGTTCTAGCTTGTTTATTCTGAGGTTATTCCAGTTGATACCTTTATTTAGGAATATGGAATATTTGATTTAAGGGTTGATCACCGTTTGTCAGCCAGGAAAGAAAAAGAAAAATCAGTTTCTTTCTCCCCTTTTAAAAGAATGGCTAAAATTTTTGTTTCTGTGTTGGGTTTATTATCTGTATTGGAAAAATGTTTCTTTTCTGTTTTCCATGTGACATTTATTCCATAGTATACTGCTCTTTTTTTTCCCTTTTTCTTTAGCTAATGATCTACTTGCAGGGTTATTGATCTTGTTCTATCTTATAGGGCATAAATTATGAATGGGATGAGGACGATTTATGGGACTTTAGAATAAGTAATTCATCTCATCTGCTCACCAATTGAGTTGAAATATTTACTAAGTACAAGTGTACCTGGCTCTTCACATAATCTCATCTAGGGCTCATGATATTCCTATGAAGTAAATGATTCTCTTACTCAACTGTGAAGTACAAAAGAATGTTAGGTACAGGGGTGAGCCTAAGGTGGAATGAGCAAAAGGTAGACCTCGCCCTTGAGCTTATGGAGCTAACAGTGTAAAGAGGATCAATATTTTAAAAATTCTAAAAATTAGGTGAAGCTAGCAGTTCGAGAGGGCAAATATAAAATCTGGTGGGACCAGCTGGCATGGGCTATTAGTTTACAGGCAGGCAGAAGAAAAGGCTCCATACATCAGAGGCATAGACAGTGGTTAGCCAGGGAAAGATGTTCTGTACTAATGGTTCCCTGTCAGAAATGCTGGAGGCTGGAGAATGAAGAGTGTGCATTATCATCAGAATGAAGAACACAGTGCAGAGGAAGGAATTGGAGGACAGTTTAATAAAGTGTGTTGTAAGTCTTGTTAAGAAGTTTGAGTTCAATGTCAAGAGTAATAAAACCCACAAAACCACTGGAGGACTTTAAGCATCCAAGTAAAACAGATAGATTTTAGTTTGGAAGGCTACTACATTTGATAAGAATCAGGATTAGTGGCAAAAAAAAAAAAGCTTGAGATTGTCTAGCTGGGAGGCTATTGCTCTTACTGCAGGTCAGAAGTGATAACTGTTTGGCCTCGATGGTGGCCCTAGGTTTGGAGATAAGTGGACATATTAGAACAGTATTTAGAAGGCATAATCGGTGAGGTCTGAGGACTGAAAAAAATGTTAAACTGTAAAAGTATAAACAAGACAAAGGAGTTGAGCCAAAGGATATAGTAGTATCCTCTGTGCAAAGGAGTGTTTACTGCAGGAAGATAAGTTCAGTCTGGGATAAGATTGCCAAGGACCGTCGAGGGCATGATGTCAGATAAGCCAAAGGAGAACTTGCCAGGGAGCCAATGGTCTACAAGTCAGACGTTGCCAAAGGTCAAGTAAAATAAAATAGCAAGCTGTACACATCCTTTTTATAGCAACAAGGAAACCTTCCTAATAATAAGATCTGTAATTACTTTGAAGATTCTTCCATGAATGAGAAACACACACACACACACACACACACACACATGCAGAGAGAGAGAGAAACAGGCATCCCTACCAGGGTCCCCTCTCAGCCCCACATCACAGACATGATGTGCATGCTTGCTGTTTCCAAGGCAGTCTGTACATGAACTAGGAACCTTCCCATGTAAGTCAGCCTCACTGAGCATTGCTTTCACCGCTGTGCCACTAGCTGGCTTCCTGTAATAATTTTTCTCTAGTCATGTAGTTTATAAACTTAGAGTGATGATTTAAGGCCAGGGTTTGTAACTAAGGCTCATGCTTTTCCTACTTATTTATTTAATGAAATAGATACTATTATTATTATTATTAGCAGTTTTAGGTTTACAGAAAAGTCGGACAAAAATACAAGGATTTTGTATTCCTCCCTCCGTACCGTTTTCCAAACTTTAACATCTTCCATTTGCTTTGTACTTTTGTTAAACTTGATGAACTACATTAATACATTAACTAAGGCTCATCCTTTACTTTAGCGATCTCTCGCTCTCTTTTTTTGTATTCTGTAGGTTTTAACAAACACATATTGATATGTCTCTACATTGCATAGTTTCATTGCCCTTTAGAGGGCCTGATCACACTGCACTTCCTTTTCCTCCAGTTCTCCATCCCATTAGGATGCTGAGCATGTGCCCAATACATATTGTTCATACTGCTGAACCCAGATCTCAAACCTTGGTTGGCCATGTGGGCTCCAGTTTCCTACTGCTGTGCTACAGGGTGGACTATGTTTTAAAAGTCCTTTATTGCACCTTCCTTTTTGAAGGCTTCTTCCCAAGATATAAAATCTGGTTTCAATGTTTGTTAGTTCTTTCACTGTGAATTTTAAGGCATTTTTTGATTGTTGCCTTGCTTCCATAATTTCTGCTGAAAGTGCTTGGTCAGATGACTTTTTCTGTGGGGGCTATGGAGATTTTGTCTTTATCTTAGTTTTCAGCAGTGTGAATACACTGTGACCAGGCATACTTATCTTTTTGTTTATGTAGTTTGGAGTTTACAGAACTCCTGGGCCTTATAAAATATATGTCTTTCATAAAATTGTCAAGTTTCCATTATTTCTTCAAGTCATGTCTTCATTTTTAAAAGCTCTTTTGTTTTATGATATAATTAGATTCTTTTTGAGAGTCCTTTTATATTGGTATATAAGTGCCTGAACTCTTCTTCCTTCCTTTTCAAATTGAGTAAATTCTATTGATCTATGATGAAGTTCACTGACTTTTCCATCTGTCGCCTCCATTCTACTTCAAAGCTCAATGATCATTCTTTTTATAAGCGTTAGTTTATTTAATTTTTAATATATTTTTGATCATTCCAATGGGAATTTTCTTTTTAATTTGTTTGAAGCCTGTTTTCATTAGCTTATTAAATTTAGTTATAGTAGCATCAAGTATCTTGTCTGATATTTCTCCCATGTAGACTATCTGTTATCATTTTGTTTGGTTGGTTCTCATGAGAATAAGTCACATTTTCCTGGCACTTCATATTTTGAGTGATTATATTTGGATGTTGTTTGTTGTAGAAACTTCAATTCTCTTGTATTTCTCCAGAGTGTTGGTATTCTTATTTTAGCAGGCAGTTAATGTGGTTCAACTCAAAATGCAAATTTTACCACCCTTGGAGTTGGCAGTGGTTCAGTATTCAGTTTGCACTTATTCTTGTTCATGCACGCATGGTTTGGAGGTTAGCCAAAGAACAATGTGTTGTCCACCCTCCTTACCCACCAGGCCACAGGCCAACCCACTCCGTGGAAGTTCCCATTATAAACTATTGATCTTAATTGTTCTTCATTTCTAAAGGCTTATGACCTGCAGGTATTTTTCAACAAATTATTTTTTCAGTTTGTCTAGCTTCTTCCCTGAGTGTCTACTAATATTCTAAGTGCTGGTAATCAGCACTGATTACATTAGGTAGTGATACCCTCTTTTTGTAGAAATAAGTATTCTTAACAGTAAGTCCTCACAGTAAATTATTTTGTCTAATTATTAATGTGGATGTGGCTTTTACTTTATATGACCTAAATTTTAAATTTAGCTTATAATATCTTGATTTTTTATTATCATTTCAGGATCATCAAACAATTTTGAGAGCATGGGCTGTAAAAGATTTTGCTCCAAACTGCCCTTTGTATGTCCAGATTTTAAAGCCTGAAAATAAGTTCCATATCAAATTTGCTGGTAAGTTTTATCTTGACGTAGATCCCTTCAATTTCCTCAGACTCCTATTGTAACTTAAGAGTTATGTCTTAAAATTTAGTGGCAACTTAATATACTCATGATTCAACACAACAGAAAGGATTTCCTTCTTATTGTCGGCTTGTTATAAGAGGATTTCTTAATTTTAGTATGTGACAAGATAATATTTTGGGGTGAGTCTTTATTTTTTAAAAATAACATGGTGAGTTTAGCTGCTGAATTTGCTGGATACCTTAATAAACCTAAATAGATTAGTAATGGTCGATTCATACATAATATAGCCACAGGCGTCAAGTGCTATTCATTTATTCTTAGGTTTACACGTAGATGATATTTTGCAATGTATTATTTAATATGTCTATAAGCTTACCAAGCAATATGGTAATATATTAAAATGCATTCAGGTCTATTTAAATAGATTTAATTTTGGGGTAAACTTTGAAAAGAATTCAAGAAAAAAAGATCCATGCAAGAGTTTTTTTTTTGGAGACATTGCTTTTAAAATAATTGGTCACATGAGATTATGCTTTGAACTGTTAGGAAATAGAGCAGTAAAAGGGTACTTGATCTTTTTCTTAAATGCTTCTGTTGGAGAAAAGAACTCATTTTGATTCAGGCAGTAATTTATGTCCATGTTTTTTCCTCCAAACACAATGACCTTGTTGTGTTTTCTGTTACATTCGTCTTTTAGTATAACACTCCAGAAGTCATTAAAATGTAAGTTATTTCAGTAATGTGTTGCAAAACATATTTCCTTCTGAAGATGTGCTCACATATATTAAAATTAAAATACTTAACTATTTGTATATACTATAAAAGTGAGAAATTGTAAATACTGGGAAATTTTTAAGTAGCAATCAGGAAATCATGAAATTGTTGCTGTTCAGTCTGTTCAAGATTTTTAAAATCTTCTAACCTTCTACATCATTAATTTGTTCTGAAAACTATAATAGCAAAAAACGTATAGTGGCTCTCACTCCTAACTGCCTATTACTGTCTCTTTGGAGGGTTGTTAAAGTGCTGATCACAGAGATTATGATTTAAGTGGTCCAAGATGGAGCCAGAACTTCTCTAAGCCTATTTCCAAAACTGAACATTAAAAATAACAATAGGAATTTGTGAATTTTAAATTTTAAAAATACACATAAAGAACTCCCTCTATTGGGTCAATGGAAAAGTCATGACTCATTTTTGCATAGAAAACTGGAAAAGTAAATCATGATTTTTCCAAGTACTCATACTATCTGTGTGTGTGTGGGGGGGTGTGTATAATAAAATCTTCTAACCTTCTACATCATTAATTTGTTCTGAAAACTATAATAGCAAAAAACGTATAGTGGCTCTCACTCCTAACTGCCTATTACTGTCTCTTTGTGTGTGTGTGGGGGGTGTATAATTATCATTCAGTAAATGCCGATTATTTATCTAATTTTTTAGACCTTTGTAACTGACTTTGTCCTACTTTTTATTATTATTTAGCTAAAAGAATATATCTGGAAACCTTTTTGTTATACCCAGTAAGGACTTGTTGTGATAAAAAATATTTAGGGTGGTAGAAATGACATGAGCACTAGACAGTGATAAAGTATGACTTTGAGACCTCCGAGTTTCCGTCTCTTAGTCAAAGGCCATCACGTATATGCTGCTCTTGTTCCATTGGTTAGGGTTAGTAGTCTGGATTAAATAAATAATGTCTGAAACATAGTAGACATTCAAGAAATGGGAAACAAATCTGGATCTTAAAACAGCATGGACTTTGGGCTAGCCTCTAGCATGGTGGTTGGGCTGGCTGGATATCACATGGCCCACTGATGGCTCTAGTCCTCGACCCGGCAACTTGGGAAATCACGCTGGGGGTGTGCGTGTGTGTGTGTGTGTGTGTGTGTGTATACCTAAAATCCTGAGAGGAGTATGGAGGAGAAGAGATTGCAGCATAGCCACCCTCTGTGTGTGTAGGTGGTTTACTTTCTCACTTTCTTTCTCTCTCTGTCTCTCTCTGGTGAGGGAAAGTGCCAAAAAATTAACAAACAAACCAAAAATGCCATGGATGTTGGTAAGACAGTTTATAACTTTGAGTGTGTCATGATGAAAATTCTGACCAGACTTCCGTTCTTTCTCCCTTCTTTACCAAACCATAAATAAGCTCCCCACAGATAGATCAACCTCCCCAAAACAGTCTACTTCTACACACAAAATTTACAGAGACTATCTACATTGATCCTTTTACAGATTCTTATTTTGCCATTATTTTGATAATCCGTCAAAGCAAAGAGTTATTTTAAGATGTTATCGCAATAGTTTTTTCCAGTATTTCTCATTTTGACACCTTTTGAAATTCCTTTTAGTAGTGTTTTCATTCTTTTATGACTGAGATTACAACATCTCAAGGAGCTCTTTTTATATTATGAAAGAGTGAAAACACCCTGGTTTTGTTAAAATGCTATAAAAAGAGTTTGAGGTGATATATGAGGCTCTCAAACAAAAATAATGTATTTTATATCTCAGCATGAGGTAAAAAATATCATGGATTTTACCTTTCAACAGTCAGCGTATCAAGCTGTTACTGAGTTAGTGTGGTAGATTGTTAAAATAATGGTCCCCGAGCAACCATGCTCTCTGTGTCTCGGTCCTGTTGTGATGTGACATTGCAGCTTTTTTTTCCATTAAGAAGTGACATCAATTTCCCCACCCCTTGAATATGGGCTTGCCCTGAGACTTGCTTGGACCAAGAGAGTGTAACAAAATTACGCTGTCTGACTTCAGAAGCTAAGTCTTTATTACAACACTGCCCAACGCCCCCCGTGTTGAGAAGGCTGGCTCACACTTTATATGGATAAAAATCACATGGGAAGTGAGACTTATCCATCCCAGTACCCAATCGTCCATCTCCCAACTTACATACCAACCAACCAAGTAATCACAGTGACCTGCAGAATTCTGAGAAATTGAATCATGGTTATTTTATGTTACTGAGTCTTGAGGTTGTTAGGGAGCAGATACCTAATATTGTTAGTGATAAAATAATCATTGCTTTAATTTTAAATCATAGTTATTTGCTGTTAATTTTATTCCTGTCCTTTTATTGTCATGAGTATTAAATAAGCACAATTCTAAGTTTTACAAATAACCAGTGAGATTTCTTTTTTCATTGACCTAAATAGTTACTTTAATTTCCTATAAGTTGTGGAAATCCTACCATGATGATAATTTATATGTTTTTGAGACAAATTCCATGTTTTTAAAAGATGCAGGATATGAAATTTTAAATTCAATTTATAAGTAAATGAAGTATTAGAAAACAAAAGCACTATAGCAATCTAGGAACTATTACTTTATGCACATCTACCATTCATAACTTTATGAATCTCTTTTTCCTGAACAAAGTGACTATAGGCATTCCTTAAAGTAAATTAGTAGATATATTATACTATTACTTGCATGAATAATTGTGTGAATTATTACCCTATTAATTATAGTTAAAATAGATTTTTGGGACCGGCAGTTGGCATAATAGCTATGTCACTGGACTCCCATGTGGTCGACTATGATTGAGTCCCAGACCCGGTGGCTTAAACTCACTTCAGGCACGTGTGTGTGAGTGCCCAGGATTCTGAGAGGAGAATGGAGGAGAAGGGGTTGCAGCGTGGCCATCCCCCTAGGGGGTGACTCTGTCTCTGTCTTTCTGTTGAGCACACGTGCCCTATAGCAAAAACCTCTCCAGGAAAAAAAATAGATGTTTGTACTTTGATCAGCTCCAAAGAGGGAAAGTCTATATGGATATACTTTTCACAACAGAGTATCCATTCCTTACTCAGTAATAAGTAGAGGAGAAGAGAAAAATAATGAGCTTAGAGATAAACAGGAAGATAAAAATACTTGGAATAATAGTTATGATAAGAGATTTCTGAGTACAAACTCAAGTTTACCACAAGTTATATTCATTCATGTAATAAAAAAATACTCTGGGGCCAGCAAGTGGTGTGGTGGGAAAGGTGCTGGATTCTCACATGCTTATCCATGGTTTGAGTCCTGGACCCAGTGGCTTGAATATTACGCCAAGCACATGTGTGTGCATGCCCGAAATCTCAAGTGGTGAATGTAGGAGAAGGTATTACAGTGTGTCCATCCCTCCTGGAAGTTGTTTTCTCACTTTCCCTATCTCTGATGAGCACTCATGACCTATGGCAAAACTAAAAAAAAAAAAAAAAATTGTCTATGTAGATAATTAATCCAAAGATAATTTGCTAATTTTTATCACCACAAATTCCCAAAGAAAAGGAACTCAAATGTTTCTCATAGAGAATCAAATTTTACTGTCAGAAGTTTGTCTTTTTTGTGGTTGGTGGTGGAGAGGCTTTTGGTATAGGGCGAGTGTGCTCGTCAGAAACACAGAGAGGGACAGAGAGACTGAAACCAAGAAATCACACCCCGGGCGGGGTATGGTGACACCACAATCCCTTCTCCATTCTACTCTCATGATCTTGGGCACACATGCACACGTGCCCAGCATGAGTTTCAGCCACCGGGTCCAGGACTCGAACCACGGTCGACCACATGGGAGTCCAGCAACAAAGCCATTACACCAACTGCTGGTCCCAAGAAGTTTGTCATTTTTATAATAAATTTGTCAAAATATAGTGACTAAAATCGCAAATTCTGGAATAGGACTTTTTTTGGTGAAATCTCTCTTCTACTATATATTAAATACATGGCCTCAGGCTTCTCTGTTTGTCTAAGCTTGAGATTTTCCATTTGTAAAAGGAGTTGATAAAATAAACAGCCTCATAGAGTTGTATGATTTAAAAAATGAAGTAAAACAAAAAATGGAAGAAAACAAGCTATCAGTAACTGATTGATACCTGTCAAAGTGATTGTTTTCATTAGTATCTTGAGTGCCTGTCTGATCCTCATAACAAATTTGTCTTAAACTTGTTTCCAGGAAGGGTAACTGAGGCAAGCCCACGATGCATTACCAACAGCTT